GAGAGAGCTCTAACATGGGATACTTGGGATTCCTAAATGCATATTCCATAAATCTATAGGCCACATGTCTGTTTTAACTACATGGATTCATCTTCTACCATTTAAATGGAATCACGCCAAGCTATAAAGCCGCTGGTCTCCTGAAACACACCCACTACTTGAAGAACAGTGGGTCAAGGGACTCTGTCCGAGTAGGGGCCATACATGTTACGCTCTCATTGCTGAGGAGTGCTTTCCAAAGAGGTAAACTGTCTTCTTACCTCTCTTCAGTTACCACATTTTTTTTTCTCTCTTAAGAGACTCTAGTCAGAAAGACAAAATCATGCCCTGATGTATATGCTTAATTTCCAATATTCTGGTCCTCTGGCCATAAATGACTGTTCTGTTTTCACAGGCATGAGTCTGTTGGCACCTTCTCTGTGCTTTCCCAGCTTCTGGTCCCATCCCACTGCCTCTTCAAGTCATGATCTTGTTTTCTTTTTCCTCACAATCCTTGGGATCAAATCCATGGCCTCGGACATACCAGGCAAGAGTACTACCACTGAGCCATCCCCAGCCCCCCTCACTCTCTCAATCACCCCCCATATTTTATCCCCCCTTGCATGTGTCCCATGGTCATGGTGTGTATCCCAGGGCATCCCAAAGTGTTGGCCAACTCTACACTGACGTAGGCTACCATAAACTGCCGAGAGTCTCACATGGATGCCAAAGGATGTAGCACAAACTCATAGCTGACAGGAGGTAAACATCTGGATAATTTAAAGAAAGGGGACAAAAGAGAAGAGAGTTTTCATTGGATTTGGTTTTCTCAGGGACACATAGGGAAGTTGACTATGGACAGGAAAGAAGGGTGGGTAGAAAAAATTAGAAAAACTACAGAATAATGTTCTACCATTTGATGACTTCACATTGAAAAACTTAATGGAATTATGCCATAATGAAAAATGATCATTTTTGGATCATACAAATCTGAGGGTTTAATATGTTCTCTGTACTTACTTTTGTGTATTTAAAATTTAGCAATGACAAAAAATTCAGTTAATTTTGGTGCACATTCTTAATTACCATTACTCTATGAGTAACCCAAGCTTTACTAAACTAAGCTTTAAATGTTGATACTGAAAACCTTTTCTGAAAAGTTCTGGTATACATTTTGAAGATTTAATAAGGATAGAACTTTTAACGTAATTCACTCTTTAAAAACAGAAAGGAAGACAGTACACAGAGCAGTGAGAATACAATGGCTGAGAGCCAAGCAGTGAGGCCCCAGAGTTGTCCCCGATCCAGTTCTCTACTCCTCTTCTCCGTACAGGAGAAGTCCCTCTGCCTTCAGCTTGGCCTCCTTATTACTAAGCCATTCTCTAAAAACTAGCTGGAGAGACTGTCCCAAAATATACAAGCTCCTCAGTGTCACAAGTGAGCATCCCCTGGTGGGGCAATGCTAGAATTTCCTATTGGGTTCCTCTCATCTCCCACTGCCTGCCCCACAGTCCCCCAAAACACCCTCATCTCTGGTACCTTTTAACCTTCCTCTGTGCTTGCTTCAGTGACACTTCCTCTGTGAAGCTATAATTCTCCCAATCTCAGAGTTAATCATCTTTGCACTGAGTGGCCTTTGTATGGCCCAGTTTAATTTCTAGTGCTGAGGCCCCAGCTATGGACAATCTACTGGGAAACAACAGAGGTTTGGTGGCCCCCAAGAATATAGACTCTGTGTGCTCAACCGGGTTGTCAATGAAATGTAAGTAGACTGAGTTAAGTAATCTTTCCTGTACTTTTTTTAAAAGGCCTAATCTATGTGGAAATTTTACACATTTGCTAGAATAACTTTTTGTTTGCTAAAACTAAAATAAAAGTGAAGCCTGCTTACTTTGGGAGTGATCTGGGCCACCAAGAGGCACTTTTGAGAACCAATGAAGTTAGGAGAAGAACAGAGCTGACCTTTGGGATTTACTCTAACAACAGGTCTTCAACAGAGTGGCTCTGCAGCTAGGTGACTCATCTGTGACTGTGACCTGAGCATGACCACTATCTCACGAGTCTAGTTTCTTCAAAGGAACAGGGTGTGCAGGCTACAGAACCGAGGAACATGTGCTTCAGATGTTACACAAGAGCCATTCTGTAAAGGCTGGGAGGAACAGCGCAGGAAGCAGCCATCTTCTTTTCCCTCCAGGTGTTGAGCAGGTACCCTGGTTTGGCTGGCCGGGAAGGTAAAGGATAAGATGTCCAGAGGAGGCATAAGGCAGAAGTATTAGCAGCAGGCAGGTGCTGGCCAGCCTACTCTCCTTGACTGCTCAGATGCCCTCAGAGTGGTGACCAAGCAGTTCCACGGCCTGGAACACATCAACCCCCAAATTACTGGTGGCCAAAAGTGTCACTCACATTGAAGTAAACTGAGTCACACTGACAAATGAAGTCTATGCTGTGACCAGGGACGCAAAGGTAAAAGGCAGAGTTAATTGAAGGCTGGCAGCAAGGGCTGCACAGAGCGGGCCAGGTGACAGTTTAGGTACAGGGTCTTGGCATGAAGCCTTCAGCCTGAAAGCATTTTCCCATCTCCACTTGATGAAACCCTATCTGAAAGAGCAGTAGTTCGGGCTTAAGACACAGCCGAGTTCAGATGTTGCCTTTGCCCCTTACTAGGTGGGCAACTTCTGACAAAGTCAATAGTCTTTGAGCCCCAGTTTCTTCAATATTGTTCCTTGAAATCAGAACAGGCCCCACTATGTAGTGAGCTTAACTAAGAGGACATGCAAGAGTCTCTGCATTAGAATAAAATTTCCGTCTTTCAATTCTCAAACTCGGAACATTGCTCATGAGCTTGTCCCTGGATTCCCAACATTTTGCTGTTGCTCTTTCCGCTAATGCGTATGCACTAAAGCCCTGTTTCTCACATTCCCTCTTACATGGCCAGCCCTGTGACAGGAAATTGACTACTAACCACCCACCCCTATAAATGCTAAGTCCCGGACACAGTCAGTATCAGTTGATTGAAAAACAAAGGATTTTGCTTTTCCAAGAAGTGGTAGAGAGGAAGGAAAGAAAATAAGGTGGTTCTTGGAGCTTAAATGCTGGGCCAGCTGCTACCCGACAGCCTGTTCCCACCTCCTCCTTGTGTCTGCTCCAACAAAGTGTGGGCCAGGTCTTGAAGAGGGGTTGGGTGTGGGGGAAGAATCTTCTATTTTTTTTAAAAAAAATTTAGAACAAACAAACATATAGCCATGCCAGTTTGTATTGTTTCTATGGAAGAAAATTCTTAACATCTCTAAGCAATTTTCCTATATTCTGTGGTGGTCCCTCCTGAACAGAAAAGCATTCTTATCACTTGTGTGGCTTTTGATCTAGGGCCATGTGCCCTGCTGAGTTGACAGGAAATACACAAACAGTACAGAAACAGAGCAATTCATATCACAGATGGCAAAACAAAATCGGTATCTATACACTTCTCAGTACATCATTAATTCATTAGCTCAGAGAAACTAGAAACAGAGTAAGAACTTGAGCAAACACAGGGGTAGCTGCATCCACATAGAAAGTACTGCCCCTCTGGTTAAAAAGCAGGGTCTACTGTTAGCGTGGTCTTCCACTGCTCAGCCAGTGCAGCCCCGAGCCAGCCACCATCAGCCACACATGCGAGCGAGTGAGCGAGCGAGCGAGCCAGCATGCTGCCCACGTGAGGGCACACCCGATGCTCCTTCCTGCCGCTAATCCTGTGCCACAGCCAGTTTGCTGGCAGGTAAAAAGTTAAAGGACTGGAGGAGAGCCCCAGTGTTCAACATTTGGAGCTAAGAAATGACACTGTTTTTTAATGTGGAACAAAAACACGGGTTTAATTAATATATTAAGTGAGGTAAATGTTGGAAAGGCCACACTATGGTCCAAAAATTAATTTTTACTCCAAACTAACCTCCTCCAAGCAAATCATAATCCCCTTACATTATTAAAGTAGGGAATTATGGAAAAATAAGCATCAGCCACATTCTACTGCAAATCTCAGAAGAAGTAGGGAGAATTTATATTACAAAATTATCAACCCAAGGCAGTGGCCTACACCTATAATCTCAGCTACCCAGGAGGTTGAAGTGGAAACACTGCAAATTCAAGGCCAGCATGGGCCACTTACTAAGCCCGTGTACCAAAATATTTTTCAAAAAATTAAAAGGGCTGTAGGTTGCAGAAATCACACATAGCATGAGTAAGGCTCTGGGTTCAATTCCCAGTATCACACACACACAAAAAAATGATGAAAGCCTTCATTTTTGCTAAAAAATGCATATATTAAGAGTCTGGAAAATGAAGCCCATGTTTTTTTTTTTTATTAAACTAAGTGTAAACAATGGCAAACATGAGTTAGCTCAAGAGCTTTCCCATTTCTAAGATCCACTGTTTTTCTTGCTTATAGTCACACTTCAAATTTCTCTTTTAATAAGAGTGCCATTTACTTAAACACTATTAAGCAATATGGAAGAACACAGGCAAAACTATTCTTTGCTGGTTTTTAAATGATTTTTTAAAAAATACTGTCTCAATTAATTTTGCATCTCTGGACTGTCCTTTTTAAAAGGAGGAAAAAGCTCTCCTAGTCCAGGACTGCTTGGTGGACATTTAAAGTGGTTTTAAAAATCATGTTTTTGTGCTGAAAAGTTATCAAGACCAGTTCTCTGCTGCGTTTGCATTGTTATTAGGAACACACACACACACACACACACACACACACGCAAGCGCACACGCACCTGAGTTTAATGACAGCTCTCTGGCGTTTGCATTGTTTAGAAACACACACACACACACACACACACACACACGCAAGCGCACACGCACCTGAGTTTAATGTGAGGCTAGTATAGAAACAGCGATTAGACACAAAGAAATGTAAACAGCTCTAACATGCAAGGAAACTAGGTTACGAGAATCCCAGCACCAGGCATTCACCAGTCACCATGGAAAACAGGAAGTGAGATGCATAGCAACCACAAGCCAAAAAGCAGAAAAGCGCATACCTTTAGCTTGGAATGAAAATCACGAGATTTCCTTCTGGCAAGAACCTGAATGTGACTAGACACCTGCAGGGTAGGGGAAGGGAGGAAAACAAAGGAAAAGCCTGTAACCATGGAGATGAAAAGCCCCCTACAACTGGGCAAGCCAGACGTACCTTAATGGCGGCTTGAATTTCTCGAACTTTCTTTCTTGCTAAGACCTGTATATGACTAGACACCTACATTGTTCGGGTTTATGAAGGGAAACAAAACAAAACAAAACAAAACAAAAAAAGGAAATCAAATATAAAATCGCTACTCCTTGGGAAGGTTGGGGAGGGGGAGGTTATTTGCATCTCAACAAAGCTGTGCAGTTAGGAACACACAGTCCCGGCCAGACACCAAGCCCCCAGCACTGCTCTAAGCTTTTTAGACCGGGTCGTCACTGCAGTGACTTGACTCAGGATGAAAATTAGGCAGTTCACCTACCTCTACTTTCCCACCTGGGAGAAACCACAGGCATTGGGAAAAGCTACTTTGGGGAGGGATGAGAGGGGAGAATAGAGCTATTTGCTTTATAAAATTAAGAAGATGTAGAGGTAAATGAAAATATTTATAGCATCTCAGTATCAGGAAGGGAAAATCCCTTTTCCTCAATTTAGAGGAGAATATACATAAATTAGCACATTGTGCAGAATCAAATAGCTGAAGCTGTCAGTTGTATTCCGATCTCATTAAGAGCTCTGGATTCTGTAGCAAATGTTAAAATAATACTGACATGTAAATTAGATCTCAAAGAGAAATGGAAAGACCCAGTTAGCAGAGTGGGGTTTTCTTCCCCCCTTATAAATATCTTTAATCCTTCCACTCTTTTGGGTATTGACTGGGTGCCAAGTAGATTTGCATATTATTACAAAGCAAAATGTGTGAATACAGCTAGCCAGCCATCCTGTTAAAAATCTGGGTTGAAAACCACATGAATTTGCTCGACAACAAATTCACGCTGAAGAGGTATCAACAACTGCTGCCTTAAAAAAACCCCAGGACTCTGGGCCATGGAAACATAGCCAAGCCCCTCTTCTGAAACACCAGGTAAACAAAATTCGTATATCTTCTGGTGTAACTTGGTCAAATTTAGAAGACACCCCCCCGCCAAGTGAAGGGGTCACCAGGCAAGTGACTGGAGCTCAGAGGCCAGCAGACAGCCCAGCTCTGGCACTTGCAATAGGTAGGGAATTAGCTTTTCTGGTTTGGAAATGCAGGACCCTCCATTCACAAGTTAGCAACTCAGACTTCGCAGGGATTCCCTCATTTCAAACTCTCCAGTGACTCTAAAAAGAAGATTTATGAGAATAAAAAAAGCTTTTCGATCTTTAATTGGTCTCTGTTTCAATTATTCAATTTTTTCATTTTGCTTTTGTACTTACTTTATAAGTACAGAGAAACGGGGACCCCCCCATTCTCTTCCCCCCTCCATCTGGCTCCTGCTGTTACTCATTTTCACCCGAATTTTGTTCGTCTGTGATTCTCCCAAGTACTTGAGGGCCACTGTCGGGGAACATCCCCCAAGCAGGCACAGCCCCGCTTCAGTGCTGGCAGGAAGCCGCCCCACTGCTGCTGACTCAGCACCAGGTCTCAGGCCCAGGCAGCACCCCTGGGGGGAGGGAGGGAGTCCCAGCCACTACTGCAAACTCACAGAGACCACTCCTCCAGGGAGGGGAACCCAAGGATGCTAGTCTTTCTTACAGAGACCACAGGTGAGCTTTTTGTTTGATTATAGGTTTGTTTGTCTTTTTTTAAAGACTAAACTGCCCACGGCTGGTCTCCAACTCTCCAAAGCAGGCTGGTCTCCAATGAATGATCGCCCTGCCTCAGCCTCCCAAGTAGTTGGAATTACAGGAATGCACTACCATGCCTGGGTGATTATAGTTTTTAAGGACCATGCCATATCATTTAGCATAGGTCAACATTAAAATATTTTTTATCTGTTAACTCACACAGGAGGTGTTTCTCGTTTTCTTTTTCTGTTGTCATATTTTCTGTTTTTAAATACTGATTCTTTTTTTTTGGTTTGTTTTTGTTGTTTCATTTTTTGAGACAGGGTCCTGTTTTGTGGTTCAGGCTAGCCTTGAACTCCTGGTATCCTCCTGCCTCAGTCTCCCAAGTGCTGAAATTATAGATGTGCTCCATTCTGGCTGGTTAAACATTCATTTTTTTTTTAAACCTCTCCAGCTATGGGCTGGGTCACCACACATCAGAGTTCAGCTGCTTTGTATCTTAAACATGCAGTACAGGCAGACCCCTGGAGAAGGGCACATAAGCAGCCTTGCCCCTGCCCTGCAAGGTACTGAAGTTATAACTTCATTTCAAAAAGCCATCATTTAAGAAATGACAGCCTGCCCCATGCATATCATTCAGTTCCTCAATACTCAAGGCTTCCAGCATTACTTTTTCATTGAAAGGACGATTAATGTGATTAACATTCCAGGCTGTTACAAATCACAAATCTCACAGCCTATATCCCCAGAAGCAGGGAAATGTATTGCCATGATACCACATGAAATAAATATTTCACAAATGAGCATTAGCTTACAAGGGTAGTTATACCTCGCAGCTTTTGCAACACTGGCAGATGCCTGTTTTGGAAAAGAAATGTCAGCTTTGAAATGATGCAGGGACATTTCAGACACTGTCCTCGGCACCCAACCTTCCACAATGGATGAAAAGAACTTGGGAGACCAGACTGCAGGGTCACTGAAATGATGAACAGTGGAAACTAAGACAACTTGAAACACCTCCAGCGCTGACATCCTTAGAGGGGACTGGAACTGGGGGCTCCTTGGAGCCAAAGCACAGCAGCCAGTGCAGCCAAATGCCTCTCGGCCATTCGCTGACATGCACACCACCCAGGTGGGGTCACTGTACCTGCTTTCTGGTCCTCGTCTTCCCTGTCCTGAGTTTGATGTATCTGGCTATCAATTCATTCCTACCTGGAAGAAATAAGATAAGGTGGGTTACAAAAATTTTTTTTTCTGAACCAAGATTTTTGTAACTTCAGCTACCCATTTATTTATGATAGAAAAATAAACAGTACAATTCCTTGAATTCCCGCCCATCCAGTGAAGGTAGAAATGTATCCTTTAAAATCTGCCCCTTTCTTTGGAACCGGGGATCAAACTCGGGTCCTTGTGCTTGCAAGGCAGGCGGCGGAACCATTGAGCTAAATCCCCAGCCCAAAAATCTGCCTTTTTGTTTGTGTGCATACCTATACCTACATGAAGTTGGATTCATCTAGGAATAAAGAAAACTCAGTTCTGTTTCAGTCTTTAATTTTTCAGTCATTTTCCTCCTCATCCCAGCTTCTAACCATAGAGAGCTCCATGCAGGGTCCTGAGTCACAAGAGAAAGAACGGCAGTGGCCACACGAGGGGCTGGGCTGTGTGAAAGCAGGAGCCCCAAAAGGAGTGGGCAGCAGTGCAGCAGCCTTTGCTCAACATACATATGCAAGATCCCCACCAGGGGAAAAGAAATGCCTCAACCTTCTCCAAGCACTGTAACCTTCCCATCAAAGAAAATGCCTCAAAAGTAAAACACTTTGCTACAATAGGGAAACACATCACCAGAAGCTTTGTGGGAAATGTATTGTTACAATATCACATGAAATAAATACAAACTTTACAAGCCCTGGGTCCTTGTGAGGCAGTCAAATTTATGGCTTCAACTTCCTCTCTAACATCAGGAACTGAAAATATTTTTCACATACTCTACAGTAAATGGACACCTCCATTTCATAATACTCCTTACAGATGGCTAAAACCAACTCCATCCTAACGGGAGCCTTTTTTGGTCAAGAACAAGTTTCAGGTCTACTGCAGTCACTTTCCCTGCCTGCACACCCTAACATCGCAGCCAGGTCTCACTTCTCCTTCAAGGTCACCATCACAGGAAGTCTCCCAGAACCACCCGGCTGGGTTCGGCCTCCTTGCTCTGTAACATACAGCCCACTGCAGCACAGTTTGCGCATCCTCAGCCTTGCTGAGTCATTGATTTCTGCTTCTGAATTTTTAAGTCCTCCATAAGCCTAAACCAGCCCTTTGAGAACTGAAGAAGCAACCCAATGCATATTGAAATATACTCAAGAATAAAAAGATCCTACTTATATGGGGCTTCCTGTAACTCTCATCCTAAGGTCCTCCTTGCTCCCTTAACAAGAACAAGGCTCATCCCTTATGCACAGTTTTGCTGCCTTTCAGATATTAGCAATAGCTTTCAGGTCCTCCTGGAGTCACACACAAGCTCAAGCTCCTCTGTTCTTTTGTTATCTGTGTGACAGGCTTTTGGAACATTCCCAGACACCATCTTGTGACCATCATTTGTCCGTTTCTCTTTCAGAGCTTAGAATCCAGAATTGTAGGAATAATCCTGCTACAACAGCAGAGTATGTTTATCACCTCCTCATCCTAAATACTCTCCTTCTACTAATGCTGCCTAACACTGTAATTAGGTTTTTCAGGCCCTCAATAAACTGCCAATTTACACCAACTTGAATTCCCAGGTCTTATTCACATGGACATTTCCTCCTATACAGCTCTAGTACTTGATTTCAATAACATCAACCATCCCTACTGTAACAGAGTGAGTGGGTCTGCATTCTACATAATACCGTGTTTGCGGCCATGATCAGAATGCTGGATATTAGAAATGTGAACCTCTGCGTCTCTACTCCCCACTTAACTTTTACTATATGTTGAACATCCTTTATCCAAAATGTGCGGAACTAGACATAGCTTAATTTTGGAAGGGTAGAGATCCATCTTGCTTTGTTCCCAGTCTTTCCATGCATAACTTGGATTTTTCAGGCCCAAATACAGAACCTGACATTTATTTCCAGTGCATTTCATCCTGTTAAATTTGGCCTATCATTCCAGTCTGTCAAAAACCTCAGATCCTGACTCTAACTGAATGTACCTGTTAAGGGTACAGAAAAGGACCTTTAAATTCAGTTTTGAGGATTGCTTCTCTAAGCATTCTCTTTCAAACTTCTGAGAACTACCAATATCCCCTGTAGTGTCATCAGGTCTACTTGTCCATCTCTCAGATGGCTGTACAGATTTTGCAATTTGTCTCAAAGGCCGGCTGACAGCAGAGCCCAGCCATGAGTGCCTAATTACCAGAAGCCAGACCTAAAAGACAATGTCTGTGGCTGAGCCAAGTATCCTCCAGCTCAGGGCTGCACTGCGCACCCTATGCAGGGCTGTCTGAGTGGCCATGGCAATAAAAATCCAGGGCTCTATGGGACATGCAATTTCATCGAACCTTGTCTAGTCAGCGAAGAAATCTCCTGCCCCCAAACTCGTTTTCTGCAAATGTAGACAGAATGCCTTGATAGGTGGGACATATAACCTATAGCATTATTTTAAATTTCTGCCAGCACTTGGTTGAATGAATGAGACCAATGTCTAAGATAGACACTGGGCGATAGCCCCTACAGTCTATGCAAATGTGGGCCACTGGAGTTAAACACGGTCACACTTTGTTTTGTTTTGTTTTGTTTTTTCAGCTTTAATTGAGTTTATTGGTACATTTTAGGGATACAGTACAGTTACATTCATTGTTGGGATCTTGTACCTCTACATGACAAGTCTTGATTCTCATTTTTTCCCCTTACCTCTGCCCTCCCTTCACCCCCTCCTCCCCTCCCCATCTACAAACACTTTATTTTCATCTTTTCATTCTCTCACATTTTTTTCTTTTCCCTTTTTACTCTTCCCCTACCCATACCACCTTTCCTACACCTTTAGCTCCTTTCTTCCCATTTCTAAATGTCAGTAATCTTATTAGAATCTTATGCATTGTTGTAGATTATTTACACCAGGGAAAACTATTTGGTATTTACACATCACGGTCACACTTTTAATCATACTTCTATTACAGCACTTCTAAAAATCACTACTTCTATCAGAGGCCCTTCCTGAAGTCACTTGCTATGTATTGTGTCCTTTTAACTAAAGCTTAACTCTCATATTCCTGTTTTTTGGAAAGCATGTATTCCTTCTTTTGTACTATGTTTCAAGCCATGAATAGTAATTATTTAATTATTTTAAATGTTAGAATTGTCTGCTTTATCTTAAACAACTCACAGGAACCTAATAAATTCTCTTAAATGTTCTACTGTTGCTCACAAACCTAGCATGATTTCAATCCCCCAGTCTAAATCAATTACTTCACTGTTTTTTTTTTTTTTTTTTTTGGTGGTACCGGGGATCAAACTTGGGTCCTTGTGCTTGAGAGGCAGGCCACTGAACCACTGAGCTAAATCCCCAGTCCCTCTTCACTGTATTTTTAATTTGAAAACACAGGCTAACCTGTTCCCTACACCAAATCATTTAAAATAATTATCTGAAATACCAAATATACAGAAATCTTTAAATCAAAAATATCAGTGATATGGGTTTGATTTATGAAAATTTTCTACATTCAATTTTAATTTCCTAGAATTGAAATGTACTTACCCATTAGGTACACAAGCATACCAGTCCAAACAATTTTGGAATACCTTTTTGACTTCTAAGAGGTGTGTATATTGAGGATATCAATTGGGTTCTGCATGGAGTCTTGTCTGCAACCCTTGTAAGACACTCTGAACCAGATGTGAATTTACAGCCCTATTCTCCAAATGCAGTGGGTCTGGGTTTCCACAGCCCCCAGGTTTCGAATTATGTTACTAAAGTGCAGAATTCCCTAACCAAGGACCAAGAGCTCAGTAATTCTAACCATCGCTGATGAAACTGAGCTAACAGGTCACAGTGGTTCAGGAAATCTAGAAAGGCTTCCTGGAACAAAAGTGCTAGAACATAAGCCAGATCCTTAGCAACAGACATTTCCTCCAACACTTTATTATGAAACATTTTAGGCATATAGAAGTTTCTTACAGATAGTTTTATAGAGAACACTATATCCCCTACCTAAATAGTTGAATATCCTTATCTTAAATGTGTTAAACTAATCCTGTTTTTATTTTATTGGATTCTGTGAAGCTTGCATATATATAATGAGTACCTGGAGGACAGAACCTAAATCTAAATATGAGATTTCTTTTACACAGAGCCTGAAAGTAATTTTATACACTGTTTTAGTGTACCTATATTTCACTTGTGACTTATCACATGGGCTGGGCACGGAGTTTTCCACTGTGGTGTCTATCAGCACTCAAAATATTTTGGATTTTGGAGCACTTCAGATTTTTAGATTGGGGTGCTCAACCTGTAAGCACTTTTACTATACTTACTTTACTACTTTTCATTCCATCCCACCACTTCTCCATCCATCCACTAAGACATCTTAGTGTTGCTGTTGTATTTCATAGTAAGTTGCTGGCATGGTAACACTTTTCCCAAATACTTCAGTGAGCATGTCAAAGCTAGCACCTAGGGCTGGGGATTTAACCCAGTGGTTCCAGCGCTTGCCTTGCAAGCACAAGGACCTGAGTTCGATCCCCGGTACAAAAAAAAAAAAAAAAAAAAAAACTAGCACCTAATACTGATCTGATAGGAAGAATGGAGTAGGGTAGGTTGAAGACCGGAGAACCTTGTCTGCTGACCCGCAAGCTCCCTCGGCCATTCCACGGGCTTTCCTTCTGAACCCAGGAGTCTCCGAGTCACACACGTGGCATCTACAGCATTACTAGCTCCTTCTCGGTGGCTATGTCAAACTTCACCACTCAGCGTCACCATACTACAGCTTCTCCGGAGCACAAACCCCCTGCAGAAATGCACAGAACATTCCCTCTCCAAGGCTGACTGACCCTACCACACCTGCCCTGGCTTCTTCCACAGCCAGCTGCAGATCAACACTACGTGAACTGCCACCTTGATGTGTCGGAGATCCTCACCAGGCACTGTGGTCTCAACTGACTTGATTTTTCCTTTCTCTTAAACTGCATGACACAGCTGCAAGGGGGACCATCACTGGCTTCCCCTGCATCCTGGAT